GACCGTCCAGAAAAGTTTCAGGAGATTCCGAAGTCGTCTGTAGGCCGTAGTTGAAGCCATTAGCGATTTTATTGAATAAATATATCTGTTAAAATGGGGTATCATTGTTATTTTCGTTTTTGCGTCATTTAGACGACAATTTATCCATCGCACCCTTTATTTTCAAAATACCATATCATTGAAAGATGACATCGCTCAATAAAGCCAGAGATGGCTACTAAGGGATACAAGGAACCATTTTAACGGGAATAAGATTTCTGATGTATTGATTTAATAAGGGTCAACCGGCGAATTCACAGTTTGAATGAACGGATATTTCAGAATATCAGATCCAGTAATCGTGGCAGGGATGATCACGTGACTTGGTCAAAAAATGCATTAATAGAATTTACCCACTGCTGCGTTTCATATTGGGTGAAAAAACCAGACGCGTCAAATAATTTGAAAGTCAGATGTGGAATTGATAGCAGGAGGAAGAGTATGGTGAATGGGGTGACAAGGGGCTGGGCGGGGCTTTGAGGGGAGGGGCGGGGGTCTGGAGTAGGCAAGAACTGTCAAAAGGAGTGAACACCCCCGTAATTATATCATAATTACGATAAAAAATAAAAATGTCTACGATATTAACGGCGGGGGAACCTGAAGATGAAGATGAAGACAAAGAAAAGATCAGAAAACTATTAAAGTTATTAATTTGGTTTGGTTTGGTTTGTTTTACGGCATATCAACCTCAATGGCTTATTTAATGCCGACAAGATTTTTATGGCTGATAATATTTTTTATCTATCTATCTATCTATCTATCTATCTATCTATCTATCTATCTATCTATCTCTGTTTATTCATATTGCTCTCACCCAGTCTGTTCATATCTATCTATCTATCTATCTATCTATCTATCTATCTATCTATCTCAGTATATATTGGTTTGGTTTACGGCATATCAACCTCAATGGGTTATTTACTGCCGACAAGATTTTTATTTCTGGTAATATATTTCCCTCAAAAATGTATTTCTGGTAATAATTTTTCCATCAAAAATTTATTGCTGGTGTTAAAACCTATTTTTACACTTTCATAGTGTTTTTAACTCCAGTTTTGGGGTTAAGTATTTTCCCATAGCTGGGACCCTAACATGTGCTACATTAAGATGGACCTGTGTATAACAGCAATTAAGAGGTGGTTCCACACCCCTCAAAACCTCCTGGTCAGAGGCCTTGCTGTTGGACGTAGTTTATCGTCTTGCCCAAGACGAATATTAATAAGAATGTTTAGTATCTGTCTATATCTCTGAGATGAAGTATAATGATTATTTACATTATTCAGACTGTTATCCCCATCTTCATTGCCATATTCACAATGTATCGGCCTCTATATCTCTGAGATGAGGTATTATGATTATTTACATTATTCAGACTGTTATCCCCATCTTCATTGCCATATTCACAATGTATCGGCCTCTATATCTCTGAGATGAGGCATTATGATTATTTATATTATTCGGACTGTTATCCTCATCTTCATTGCCATATTCACAACGATTTAGCCCCTATATCTCTGAGATAAGGTATTATGATTATTTACATTATTCAGACTGTTATCCCCATCTTCATTGCCATATTCACAATGTATCGGCCTCTATATCTCTGAGATGAGGCATTATGATTATTTATATTATTCGGACTGTTATCCTCATCTTCATTGCCATATTCACAACGCTTTAGCCTCTATATCTCTGAGATGAGGTATTATGATTATTTACATTATTCAGACTGTTATCCCCATCTTCATTGCCATATTCACAATGTATCGGCCTCTATATCTCTGAGATGAGGTATTATCATTATTTACATTATTCGGACTGTTATCCTCATCTTCATTGCTATATTCACAACGATTCAGATTCTATATCTCTGAGATGAGGTATTATGATTATTTACATTATTTAAATTATTTACATTATTCGGACTGTTATCCACATCGTCAGTGCCATATTCACAACATTTTGGTCGTTGTACGCTCCGATAAAGGTGTTGATTAGATTCAGTAACTAGATCCCAAGAATTGTGAGTTCAATACCAGGCCACAGCAGTGGTGTACCAAAACTTGGGGATTTGAGAAAGGGAAATAACTCAGACCTCCGGAAGAGGCATGGTACGTAAAACTGAAACAATCTACCCCAATGGACGAAATAAAGGGTTCGGTTTGATATTACAATCACCTGAAGAAGACCGGAGCGTACAACAGCTGAAACGTTGGGAATATAGCAATGACGATGTGGATAACAGTCCAGATAATGTAAATAATGCAAGTAATCATAATACTTCATCTCAGAGATATAGATAGATATTTGAAGAAAAATTCCAATCACCTGAAGAAGACCGGAGCGTACAACAGCCGAAACGTTGGGAATATGGCAATGACGATGTGGATAACAGTCCAGATAATGTAAATAATATAAAATAATATTTAGGATAGTTTTGTGACTTATGAATTTTTTTGTGCTTTTTTGTATTTTTTTAGTTCTTTTATTTTTGTTTAAAATGAGAATAATTTGAAGAAATTTAAAAAAAAAAAGAAAGAATTTGAGATAAGTATGGTAAATGCGATCTCATATAACGGAAACTAATGTCATTAAGAATCGGAGCGATGTTGTTAAGTTTAGCGCTTCAAAAGAAATTTCATCCAAATCCTTTAATTCGAATGGGAAAATAAAAAAGATAGAAAAAGAAAAGACGTAAAAACACCATCCGAAACCCCATTGTCTATTTTGATAAGAATATTTTTTTTGTATATAAGGCACACAAAGGTGTTACTTCGTGGTGAAAAATAATTTATTTCTGCTTTCCATTCTTTCGTAATTCCTCCAAAAGAAAAAAAAAAGCCATCTGGAAACTTATTTATTAAGACCTTAAAAAACATTCGATAGATATGAAATAATGTTGTTATCATCTGAATAACTTTTTACTTTTTATTACATCGCACATTGGGTTACGAGTGAGAATCTGTCTGTCTATCTATCTATCTATCTATCTAAGTCTCATATCTATCGGTATATATGTGTGTGTGTATGTGCACGTGTGTGTGTGTTGCAGTCTGTTTCACACTATCAATCAATCTCAGTCTGTTCATATCTATCACAGGTTGTTTCACTCTATCTACGTTGGTCTAATATCTATCTATCTTAGTCTCATACACACACACACATATATATATATATGTGTGTGTATATTTCAGTCTGTTTCACACTATCGATGTATCTATCTCTGTTCATTATCTATCTATCACAGGTTGTTTCACTCTATCTACGTTAGTCTAATATCTATCTATCTATCTAGCTAGCTAGCTAGCTATCTGAATATATTGCTTAATATATATATATATATATATTAAAAAGCTGTGTTACTTTACATTGAGCACTGTCTTTTTACATTATAAAGTATTTGTATGTATTTGTATACGATGGCTCGCCTCGTATGCCTACGCATATTTACCCATTTGGTTATATATATATATATATATATATATATATATATATATATATATATATATATATCAGTCTATTCAGATCTATCTATTTATCATTCTCGTTCTAATAATCTATCTCTACCTCTGTATTCGCACAAAATTACATCGAGTGGTTTATATATATATAATATATATGTGTCCAAACTGTTGGTATATATATATATATATATATATATATATATATTATATTTAATGAACAACAACTGTTGTTCATTAAATATTAGCTCTATTCTTCATTGAGCTCTCAGGATTTCATCCTCCTTGGAATTACCAATTCAGTTTACCAAATTCTTCATAACTTAAATATATATATATATATATATATATATATATATATATATATATATATTATATGCATAGATATTCGATAGATATAAACAGACTAATATATATATATACATATATATATATGTATTACTGATATATGTGTGTGTGTGTGTGTGTGTGTGTGTGTGTGTGTGTGTGTGTGTGTGTGTGTGTGTGTGTGTGTGTGTGAATTTATGTAAGTATTTGCTACTGTCTGTCGTCCTTATCCATGACCGGAATCATTCTGACTGGAAAAGAAAGATCGACTGGATTCCTGGTCCGCTCTTCGCCGCCGGATCTTCCATAGACCAGCACCATGCGGTGCGATGACCTTTTTACACACCCTCGTTTCGCCACAGAAGCCCTCACCCAACCTGACGATACACCCCCCACTCTCCTCCCCCATTGCCGCGACGTGCACGTCTGGCGCTGGTTCTCATTGTTTATCCAACTTACGCATTGAATGTACAATGAAGTAAAATTGAGAAACCCTCCTTAAGAGCCATACCGAGACACTCTTCTTCTTCTTCTTCTTCTTCTTCTTCTTCTTCCTCCTCCTCCTTCTTCTTGTCCATCTTTAGCTTCTTCTTTTTTCTTCCTTCTCCTTTTTTTCTCCTCCACCTCCACTTTTATCTGCTTTCTTCTTCTTCTTCTTCTTCTTCTTCTTCTTCTTCTTCTTATTATTATTATTATTTAATCTTCATCTGGTTTTATCCTTCTTTTTGCTTTCTTCTTCTTCTTCTTCTTCATCTTCTTCTTCCTTTATCTGCTTTCTTCTTCTTCTCCTTAATCATCAACTTTTCTTTCTCTTTCTTCCTCCTTATCCTCCACCTTTTTCTGATTTCTTCTTCTTCTTCTTCTTCTTCTTCTTCTCTTCTGCCTTCTTCTTCTTCTTCATCATCTTTTCCTTCTTCTTCCTTCTTTTACTCCACCTTTATCTGATTTCTTCTTCTTTCTTTATCTGTTTCTTCTTCTTCTTTTTCTTCTTCTTCGTCTTCTTCTTCTTCTTCTTCCTTCTCAACCTTTAGCCTCTTTTTTCTTCCGTCTCCTTTTTTCTTCCGTCTCCTTTTTTCTGCTTTCTTTTTCTTCTTCTTCTTCTTCTTCTTCTTCTTATTATTATTATTATTATTATTATTATTATTTAATCTTCATCTGGTTTTATCCTTCGTTTTGATTTCTTCTTCTTCTTCTTCTTCTTCTTCTTCTTCTTCATCTTCTTCTTCCTTTATCTGCTTTCTTCTTCTTCTCCTTAATCATCAACTTTTCTTTCTCTTTCTTCCTCCTTATCCTCCACCTTTTTCTGATTTCTTCTTCTTCTTCTTCTTCTTCTTCTGCCTTCTTCTTCTTCTTCTTCTTCTTCATCTTTTCCTTCTTCTTCCTTCTTTTCCTCCACCTTTATCTGATTTCTTCTTCTTCTTCCTTTATCTGTTTCTTCTTCTTCTTCTTCTTCTGCTTTCTTCTTCTTAATCATCAAATTTATCTAATTTATTCTTTTTCTTCCTTTCCCAACTCCTCCTTTATCTGCTTTCTTCATCTTCATCATCATCATTTTTTCCATCTTCTCCTCCTTCCTCCACATCTTCCACAATTATCTGATTTCTCCTTCTTCTTCCGCTTATTATTTTTCTCCTTCATACTTCATCTTCTTTTATCCTTCTTTTTGCTTTCTTCTTCTTCCTCCTCCTCATCCTTCACCTTTATCTGATTTCTTCCTCTTCATGCCACATCGGTTTTTCCTTCTCTTTCGCCTTCTGCTTTCTTCCTCTTCTTTATCTGCTTTTTACCTTCTTCTTCTTCTTCTGTTTTTTCTTCTTCTTTATCTTCCTCCTCCTCCTCCCGCTTATGTTCCTTCCTTATCTGCTTTCTCTTCTTTCTTTTATTTTTCTTCTTCATCTTGGCCTTCTTCTCAATCTTGATACTTTTTCCTTCTTTTTTACCTTCGTCTTACTACTTGTACTTTCTTCTTACTTTTCTACTTCATATTTGTCTTTTTCTTCTTCTCCTTCTTCTTCTAACTTCTCTTCCTTCTTCTTCCTCTGTTTATTCTTTTTTCTAATTTCCTTCTACATTCCTATTTTTTACTATTTCATCATCTTCTTCCTCCTCCTTCTCGCCCTTCTTCCTCTGCTGTTTTCTTCCTTTTCTTCCTTTTTTCCTTTTCTTCTTCTTCTTCTTCTTCTTCTTCTTCTTCTTCTTCTTCAGTCCATTACACCTTTTCTGAGGTGTCTTATGATTCGTTAAGTTTTTACAAGAAACAGCAAGAATTTCCGCCTACCCACGCGTGTGCGCCCCCGGCATATATATATATATATATATATATATATATATATATATATATAACTACTTGTTAAAAGACGTTAGCGTGCCACCTTTCACGTTTTCTTGTGTCTTTTCCATCAAATTCACTTGCTTCTTCTTCTTCTTCTTCTTCTTCTTCTTCTTCTTCTTCTTCTTCTTCTTTCATCTACTCCACCTTTATCTGATTTCTTCTTCTTCCTTTATCTGTTTCTTCTTCTTCTTCTTCTTCTTCTTCTTCTTCTTCTTCTTCTTCTTCTTCTTCTTCTTTTCTATGTCTTACATTTTCTCTACTGCTTTTCTTTCTTTATCTTTCTTCCTCCACACACTTTTTCCTCCTTTTCCCCCCACATCGCCTGCTTTGTCTTTCTCATTTCCCAGCTTCTATCTTCTTCTTATTCTCTTTCTTTTTTTCCTCTTTCCCCCTTTTCTTTGTCGTCATTTTGCCCACTCCACCTCCTCCCTCTTACAACCGTTTCTTCTTTTACTTGTTTGTTCATCATCATCAACTTGTTTTTCTCTTTCTTTCTTTCTTTCTTTCTTTCTTTCTTTCTTTCTTTCCCTTTCAACTCTCACTTTGCCGTTTCTCTCGCATCCATTCTGTCAATACATTATTTCTTTTTCTTTCTGGTCTTTTCTCTCTTCGGGTGTGCGGGTGGTGTAATGGATAGCGAACGGAGTGAACCGAGTTCAAATTCCAGTCGGTTTCGTTACATTCACATTTTCTATTATACTAATGATCACACAATACAAGGCCCAAGAGCCACTCATGGTAGAGTGTGTGGTGTTGGATGATCGTAAGAAAGAGCAAGTAGTGAAGTTCATGGGGTTAAACAGAAAAGATAACGGTTAGCCCTAGACTTGAAGAGATCAAGATTGGAGCGATTAGGAGAGCACCCACCCCGGAGTCTGTTCCACGACGCAACAGTTCTTGGGAAGAAGCTGTCTGAGTGGAATTACTTCTTACTATTGGAATACGAAGGGAATGGAGATGACTCACTCTTGTGTAGAGATTTTCTTGAGCCCCCTCCCCAAGGTCATTTTTAATGTGCTTTCACTCGGGCCGCTGGTCCAAGCTGGTCTTAGCTGGTCATAACTTGTCCAAGCTGGTCAGAACTGGTCTAAGCTAGTCATAGCCGTGATACCACCAGAGTCAGGGACGGAGCCCTGTATGGCGGGTCTCAGAAAAGGTCATGAGCACTGGGACTAAGTAATGTTGATCGTCAGAACACATGTTTTGGAAAGAGCGACAGAGAAGCGCGAGGCTCGCGACGTTTCGCCTGTGGGTAAGGGGTTACAGGGTGGAAAATAATTCATCACCCACAAGGCCGTGTAAACGTTTTTGAACTCAATTAAGACAGGCAAGTGGTAATTGGTCAGCTCCAACCTATATATACTCCACTTTTGGTCTGATGTGGCTTTTGTCACGATAGTGTATAGCAGGGGGAATCAGACACTTAGGCGTAAATTACATAGAGAAAAGTATTAATCAATCTCTTCTCTCCTCAGCTATGGGTTAAATAGTAGGTCTTATATCGGAAAAATCATTGTTTTTCTAAAAAAAAAATCGTTAATGCAATATTCATACGCAAGAAATAAAAAATTATTCCTAGAATCAAAAATACGTTTCGATATAAATAACCCATAAAGGGTTGATAACCCATAAAAATCAATTATTTTTCCTGTGTTTTCACTGTTTTTTTCTTCTTTTTTACCTTTTATCTATTGGTTTGTTTTTTGGGGGTTTTTTTCATTCATATAATTCCTTCTATCGTCTGAAATTTACTAGTTTTGTTTATTCTTTTCCTTCTTTTTATCTTTCTTTTTTCTTTTCTTTCTCCTTCAAATATGGCTTGCTTTCTTCTTTTTCATCTTTCATTGAGTCTTTCTTCTTTTTCTTCTTCTTCTACCTTTTCTCATTTTACTTTTATGCTTTCTCTTCTTTTTCTTCGCTATCTTATTTTTCATTCTTTATTTCTCTTTTCCTTTTTTCTTTCTTTTTTCTTTTCTTTCTCCTTCAATATTGCTTGCTTTCTTCTTTTTCATCTTTTGTTTCTGTCTTCTTCTTCTTCTTTTACCTTTTCTCATTTTACTTTTATGCTAATTCTTCTTTTTTCTCTCTCTTTTATTTTTCATTCTTTATTTCTATTTTCTTTTTTTTCCCACTAATTGTTCTTTTTCTTACAGTTTCTCCTTCTACTCATAGATTTTTCTTTTCTTTTTTTCGCTTTCTTAGATTTGCCTGTCTTCTACATTTTGTTTTCTTTTCTACACCTTTCTCTTGTTTCTTTTTTCTTTCTTTCTTCTTCCAGTCTTTTTCTTTTTTTCTTTCACGTTTTCTTCTTTTTTTCTTATCTTCCTCTAACATTTTTTCCTTTATTTCTTTATTCTTCGACGCCTTTCCCCCACCTTCACTACCAAAAACTGTACATTCCTTTCGTTTCTTTTCCACATCCTCTTACCACTACCCCTCTTTTTATTTCTCCTACTCTTCTTTTGATGACTATATTTACGTTATTTCCGGCTTTTTCTACTGGTAATTCTTTCTTCACACCTGAATTTCTTTGTTTTCCTCTGATCTGTCACTTCTCACCGCCAAACACTTCTTCCTAATGTCTACAGACTTCCAAACTTCCAGACATAGACGTTTACACAACGAGCAATGTTGTGAGACTTTTTCGAATAAATTCGATACTTCATTTCCTCTTTCTACGATTTCCAACATTCGCTAAATCTTTTACTTCGATCGTTGTCTATATTAGGATGCTCAGGAAGTAATTACGTATTACACCATTATGGATTGGTGGTTAGTTGTGTGTGATGGGTAATTCTTGGTATTTATTTACCGGAAACATTGGAATAAAACCAACTGACTCAAGGCTATAAAATAAATAATATGTTTTTATGTATTTGATTTAGAGTGACTCTACTGATATTCAGTGTAACGAAAATGTTCGTTTATAAGGTGGATATTGGTAGTAGTCTGGAGAAATGTCAGTTTCAGCTCGGTAGTGGGTAATTTCGAAGTCAGACATTGCTCGTAGTAGTAGTAATCTTAAAAATAGGTCAGCATCAATATACTGTGTTTTTCTCGGCCCTAAGAAGGGCAGAAAATATAATTAGCAAATAACCTCTTAAACTTCACACGTCACGCATGACTGGCTTCTAAAGCGGTCTTGTTCCTTGTCGTCGCTCTCTTCGGCTAGCTCAGTGCTGTCAGCTTTTATCCTTTTGACCAGGCTCCGGAACTCTGGGACGAAACTTGGCTTCAGCTAACATTAAATTTTTTTGATTGGCCAAAATTTATTTTCCGATGTTTATATCTTTTTCATTTTTTTAAATATAGCGGAAGTCCTTGCTAATCAGACGCTTCATCAGTAGCTAAATAGTATAGCACGCCAGGCTATCTGACGGTTCCGTGTAGGATACAGGTTCGATTCCTGTCGGAGGACACGTATTTTCTTTGAGATTTCTCGGACATTCAGGCCGGCAAATGTTGTTAATACTGTTTATTATAAACAAAATATTTACTTAATTATTTGTATTTATAAAAAATAACGTATAAACAATAAATAGATTGAGGCAATCGGAAGTCTAGCCACACTGATGAGCTGCGAAACAGTCTGTCTGTGGATAACAACACACATACACACGCTCACACACACACATATATACTCACAGACACATACATATGCATACATATAGCCAAACACACACAAACACGCACACACACACACATATATAAACACTATATATACACACATATATATATGTACACACACATATGCACAAGTATATATGCACAAACGCGCAGACACATAAATGCACACAAACACACGCACACATGCAAACACACACACACGCACACACACAGACACACTCATATATATATATATATATATATAGAGAGAGAGAGAGAGAGAGTAAAAAGGCTTAAACACTAATATTCCATGGTCATAATTTATTCCATTGGAATCGTAAATACGATCAATTCATCAGACCTACAAATTCAAAAAATACACACACACACGTATATATATATATATATATATATATATATATATATATATATATATATATATATATATATATGTGTGTGTTTATACATGTGCATGTATGTGTCTGCTCGTATACAAAATAACGTATAAATAAATACATTGAGGCAATCGGATGTCTAGCCACATTGATGAGCTGCAAACAGTCTGTCTGTGGATGACAACACATACACACACACATATATATATATATATATATATATATATATATATATATATATATATATATATATATGATTGAATAATTAGGCTAGGTTCACACGTTCTGGGTATCTAATAATCCTTAAAACAGTAAATCGTCTGCTTTCATATACTTTCGTTTCCAATGCCTTCCCTTTCGGAACAGAATCAACAGGATGCTGAGGCACTCGGCTGTTTTTCTTTCTCTTTTTGTTATCTTCATCGATCAGCTTCCGACTCTCACATAATAATTCTTTTGTTTCTAATTCAGTTAAATAAAATAATTTTTTCGCCATCATTTTATTTTACCCCTCCATTCGTATCCCAGTTCTTTCAATGTTGAATTCAAAAGATATCTTTGAAATTTTAATGCTTTTAGAATTAGATTTCCTTTTTTCGTTTGATGACGTAAAAAAAAGCTTTCGTCAAAAACCGAACGACTCCATTTTAAATGTTTACAATCGCTTTCGTTGTAGCAGCTTAGTGTCCACAAAGCTAGGAATTAATTTCACTTTATTATTCAGTTTTTGTTTTTTTTAATATTACCAAAACAATTCGCGTATTTACATTCCTTAATCCAAATATTTTCAAAACAATTCATATATTTTCTTTCAATATCTTTTCATTTCAAACGCATTCCTAACTCAACTCCTCTCTCTGTATCTATCTATATCAGTCTATCCATATCTATCTATCTATCTACCTATCTACCTACCTATCTACCTACCTACCTATCTACCTATCTATCTATTTACACTATCTACATTCTTCGGACTATTCTCCTCATTTTTTTTTGTCATATTCACGACGTTTCGGCTATTGTACGCTCCGGCCTTCTTCGGGCGGAATTTCGAACTGAACCCTTTATTTCGTCCACCAGGGCAGATTTTTCTACTTCCAAGTGCCATGGCTCTTCCGAATGTTTCAGTCATCTCCCTTTAACTCAATTCTCCACGTTTTTGTTCCCCACTGCAGTATTGAACTCACAACTTTTTGGGTCAAGTCACTGAATCCAACAAACGCTTTTAGATACCACTCCTGTATGTCAGTGAATTCTGGACAATCTCCTCACAGAAGAAGAAAAGACTTGAAACGACAGAAATATTGTTCTACAGAAGGATGCTGAGAATGCCATGAACCGAATATGTGATTAACGACGAAGTTTTAGGGAAAAATGAAACAAAAAAAATGAAACATACTTAACATCAGGAAGAAACAGTTGAAATTTTTAGGATAATGAGGAAAGAAGGATTGGAAAATCTGATACTCACAAGACAGGTTTAAGATCAGAAGGACAGATGGAAGCAACGCGTAACCTACTTGGCGAGCTTGAATTTAGGAGCAGGGTTTAAGAGATATAACAAAATACTAAATTTATTAAGAGACAGGAAATTGTGGCGGGCCATCATCATATATAGAAGATGAACGAGCTTGTTTACATGGTTGGCAGAATATGGATGAGGAGAGATAGTAAAAAGACAAATTTTAGAAAACCAAGATTGCCTACGTCCTGAAGAGACCGGGCAGACAGAAATATAAAATTCTCGTAAGCAGTTTAATAAAATATGGTTGATGAAGTTCCTGTTTTTACAGAAACATTTTAAATAGGTTAATCGATGCTTTCTTTTTGCCTCACTTTATTTCAGTATGTCCTGTGAGTGTTAACTTCCCCAAGCCATCTTTCCTAGTTATATGTCTTAAAAGAATTATCATTATTGGAAGTATTCATATCACTCGGGCGATGTTGGCTCGACTGGGTCAAGCAATCTGTTAATTTGCGATGACACACAATCGTTGTTTATGAGAAAACAGCAATATAATAATTAGCTTTTAACAAAATGACCACAGTGAAAGGTCACAATGTCCAAGCTGATTTTAATTGTTATTGGATCGCACTTGATCCGATACTTGCTTTATTGCCAGTTCCAAATCTTTTCTCAGATCGCTTCCTCCTCCTCCTCTCTCTCTCTCTCTCTCTCTCTCTGAATTTCTCGTTATCATCCCGTATATATTTTTTTGCCCTTTGTTCAGCTTAGAAAGAGCGATATTTGTGTGCTTTTTTACATTTTACTATACAAACGCACTCCAAACACACACATATATACACCTACTACTCACGCGTTCAAAGCTAGCTGATAAACTACATCCTCGTCCTGGGTAAAACGATAAACTACGTCCAGCAGCAAGGTCTCTGATCAGGAGGTTTTGAGAAGCGCGGAACCACCTCATAATTGCTTGTGTTCCCAGGTCCATCAGATTTTCCAAGCCCTCATTCCTCATTATGTGCCGCAGAAATCTTAACTGTCTCTTCCTGATGTTAAGTATTAGTTTCTTTTTTGTTACTATTACAATTGCGCCGTTGGTAAGATTGTGGCCGCCAAAACCAAATTAAAAAACAAAACAGCTTCCCATAGTCCTTGACGTAGAATCGTTTTCCTCTGTCCCTCTTGCCTCTAGTTGTCCCGTGCGTATCATATTTTCCAAGCCATCATTCCAAGCCCAGAAATCTTAACTGTCTCTTCCTGATGTTAAGTATTAGGTTGGTGCAAAAATAATGACGTAACAATGTCGTTGTTTGACGTATTTTTTAACGTCAAAAAACGACATTATTACGTCATTATTTTTGCACCAACCTAATATTATTTTCTTTTTTGTTTCCGTTTTCTCTAAAACTTCGTCGTTGTTCGGTCCACAGTATACTCAGCATCCTTCTGCAAAACCAGATTTCTTTTGCTTCAAGTCTGCTCTTCATCTTTGAGGAGATTATTCAGCCCTCACTGCTATACAGGATGACAGATATCACGTAGCAGTTTAGTACGCTTTTCCTTGTGTCTAGCGAAGTTTTTTTTTTCTTTTGTTTGTTAGTACTCTGCTTCGCATTTGGAATACTTCTTAGCAATCCAAATATACCTTCGGATCTCGATGTCACACTTTCCGACCTCTGTTAAAACACTTCCCAGATACTTAAATTTAAATTTCATAATGAGGAAGGAGGGCTTGGAAAATTTGATACACACGGGACAATTAGAGGCAAGAGGGACAGAGGAAAACGATTCTCCATCAAGGACTATGGGAAGCTGTTTTGTTTTTTAATTTGGTATTGGTGGTCACAATCTTATCAATTTAAGGTATGCAGATGACACAGTGTTGATAGCAGACACGAAAAGAAAACTATAAAAACTCCTACAAAAGTTAGTGGAGGAAAGCAAGAAGAAAGGACTAAGCGTCAATTGTGAAAAGACGGAATGCATGGTTGTTAGCAAAAGGATGAGCCCAAAGTGTGAATTGCAAATCGGAGATACCAAAATCAAACAAGTGTGTCAGACGAAACGGACCAATGCTTTCATTATCATCTGAAAAAGAAGAGCATCCCTTATTATAAAAAAAGAAAAAAAATACCACATTTTCTATTATGATCCCATTAAAAGAACAAATAAATAATATAATCAAAGATTTTTGTGTGATGCTTTGACACACGTCATTACTGATTATGTGCCAAATCATCACAGAAATGTTCATTAGGAGTTTCGGGTATTACAACATCATACCCACTCTCTACTGTGATCTAGCCGATACTGATCAGGTATTGACTTGTGCGCCATCCGCCAGCTACAACTTGTCTTATTTTTAATCACACACTTCAACACCTTTTGGAAATTTATAGTCCAATCACGGATAACTTCCGGTTCACTGGCAATTTACGTTCTTCCATAAAAAAAAATTAAAAAAAAAAAACAAGCAAACGCAGTAACGGCAAAATTTTGATAAACTTGATAGTTTGAGTCTAAATTTGGTAATAGTCGCCATCTTGTTGGCAGCTATTTTGGAAACATGTTGCGGCGCCAATCTGCTGTGTATTATCAGCCTTCAAAAAGGGCGGAAAAATGTCTTCAGCAGACGACCGCTTGCTTATTCACGCGGCACGCTCGGGTCGATTTCAGGCTGTTTCCTTTCTTTATATATAATTTTGAAAGGCTCCATCCAGGCTACTTGGCACTACGCTTGGTTTTGGCTAATATCAAAAGTCTTTTTTGTTCGTTTGATTGACTGAAATTACTTTATTTTTTCCGGTTTTCCATTCTTTTCTTTATTTTTAAGCGGAAGTTATGTGTGTAGATTCTTGTTTTGGTAGAATCGTAGTCATAATAACTAGACCTTGGACTAGCGAACTTCCGTTTTGCATCAGTTGTTCAGTCTTTTCTTCTTTTTAGATGTGAGATGCCATTTTATGTTTTGAGAGAAACGAGTAAAAAGAAAAAAAGAGAGATTGTTTTTTTTAAGGAAAGCAAATGAGTATTTGAATTTGATTTTTTAAAAAATATTTTTACATTTGTGTACGCCACAAGGTTCAGGCAGCTAATTAAATCAAGCAGCAATTTTATTAAAGAAATGGAAAATTTACTTTTGCCGTAGATTGCAAAAATAATAAATTACTGGTGATGCTGTACAAATAAATCAATAAAATATACAAAGGCCAAACAATTATTTGTGATCTTTTGACCTAACGCTCGCAGGGGAAGTGTCGAATTTCAATTTATTTCTCTGTTTATTTATACTTTATTTATGTATATACCGAATTATTTTGTATTTAATGTGTGTGCGTGTGTGTTTTTTTTTTCTTCATTTTTATATGCTTTTAGAGGGGGTTTCGGTGGGGACTCGAACGGATCACCCGTATATATATATACACATTTCATTTACTCATCTAACGAACAATTTGTAAAATTTGGTTATCCTAGTAATGGAGTAATGGAAAGCCGAGTAATAGATAGCGGCTCGGATTGAGGAATCAGAGATCCGGGTTCGAATTCAAGTCGAATCCATTACATTCAGTTACGTGCTAATAATCTTAGGAATCCTCTTCTTCTCTCCCCCCCACAGCTATGGTTAAATAGCAGGACAGACCGCAACTGGTCTACCTCAGAAAGAAATGTTAACCCATTGCGGGAAAAAAAATCTGCCTCGTCAGTCATGATCTCCTAAGCGTATATCAAGCATGGCACATAACTGACTGAGTAAAGAGATAACTCATTGACTAGCCAATCCTTGATGCAGGCGCCTCCTCGGGCACAGAGCCAACTGCAGTTTATACAGCAACTATCCTGAGTGGACTTTAGTTACAGTTCGTTCGAAAAGGCGTATTATCTAGCCTGATGAACATTTTGAATATATATATATATATACATTTTAAGACATTTTTTATATTTATGCATTCTTTTTATAGATACAAATATTTAAGTAAATGCTCTGTTTCTAATAAACAGTATTAAACAACATTTACTAGCCTGAATGTCCGAGAAATTTCTATAGAAAATATTTGTCCTCTGACAGGAATCGAACCTGTATTTCTCGCATTTCGGTTAGCAAGGACGATTTTATAAACATTAAAAAAAAATGTCTTAAAATAATTGTCGGTCTTTGTCCATTTCATAATATGTGACGTCATTTGTTTACATTTGGATACGCATCGAGCAGATATGAATGTACGTGAGAGAATCATGGAAAATTGTACTTTAAAAACAGTAAAATCGACCTTGCTAACCGAATTGCTCCTCTGTGGCTCAATCGGTAAAAGCACGTCAGGTTATATGACGGTTCCGTATAGGATACAGGTTCGATTCCTGTCGGAGGACGCATATTTTCTATAAAAATTTCTCGGGCATTCAGGCCGGTAATGTCGTTAATACTGTTTATTATAAACAGAGCATTTACTTAAATATTTGTATCGATAAAAAGAACGTATAAACATAAATAATGTCTTAAGATAATTGTAGGACTTTTTCGATTTCATAATATATATATATATATATATATATAGGGGAAAGTAAAGTCGTAGCTCTTGTGGCACAATCAGTTGGTTTATGAATACTAGAATGAGTATCGCCACGGAATTTGTGACTAGCGGCGCTATATAGAGTCTAGTCAGTTTCTTCTTCGTCACCGAGGCCCATTGGTACAGTCGGCATGAGGTTCGCGTTGTATCGATATGCTTCGGGTTCGAATCTCGGTATGGGATGCGCACAAAAATAGGAAAAAAACGACCGTCCAGTGCTTTCTGCATTCTGCTGAGGATTCTTCTAGGCTCGATGAAATACTATAATGATTTACCTAAATTCTAATATATATTTAAATAATTTTATTGTGGTAAAGAATTTAATAATAGATAGGAAAAGACAAAATTTATAAGGCATTTTTAAAAGGTTCTAGAGTCCTTGTATATCAGATCCCGTGGGTCTTCTCTTTGTAAACAGAGGGAATGCTTACTGGGTCTGAATGTTATTGGACTCTAGTTTCTTGAAATTCATTTTTTTCTCTTCTCTTCCATTCCATTCGTTAATTTAAATTAATTTACACACTTTTTAAATTTTCTATTCCCAGAAAACGGGTTCGAATCTCGGTAGGAGATGCGCATTGCTGACAGTCCCAAAAACTAGAACGAAACGGTCGTTCAGTGCTTTCTGCATTGCGTTGAGGATTCTCCTAGACTCGATGTATATATATATATATATATATATATATATATATATATATATATATATATATATATATATATATATATATCAAATAATCTTATAAATATAAGCAGTTATACTCGTCCAGCAAAACCATAGGTGTTTTAGCTTTGTAAATGAAATGAACAAACCAATACCCAATACGAAAATAATCATCTAGAATTAAAGTTCAGAGTCCAAAGAAAAAAAACTCCCCGGCAAAAAAGTAAAAATAACTAAGCAAAGTGCTCAATACACTAAATAGAGCAAATCATATATATATATATATATATATATATATATAGATCCGACAGTATGAAGAAAATATATACGGAAAAAACAAACAAAAATCCTTATATACAATTATGCTGTTTTAATGTTAATATGTCAACGTCGGACGTTTCGGTCTAATAAACCATCTTCAGGACATATTCATAAAATATAATTAACATTATCAATTCAACATGACAAAGACGATGTACATAAGAACAAGACTTATCCAAACAAATAACTGAAAGTTTTATAAGATCAGCGCTCCGTTTAAAACATAGTCACGTTGTCGTCACGTGGGCGACGCTGTGAAAACGTATTCCTAAAATTTGAGTATTTTGAATGAAAAATGAAAAGAATTCTAATTTGATCTAAAATTTATATGTACGCATGTCGAGCATTAATCTCTTATGTACATCGTCTTTGTCATGTTGTATTGTAATGTTATAATTTATGAATATGTCCTGAAGATGGTTTATTAGACCGAAACGTCCGACGTTGACATATTAACATTAAAACAGCATAATTGTATATAAGGATTTTTGTTTGTTTTTTCCGTATATATTTTTCTTCATATATATATATATATATATATATATATAGTATTGGAGCAGCAGATAATCATTTAAACATATATTGTTAAATATATGTTTAAATGATGATTAAATATAGCAGACAACGAATGTCTGTTATGTTTGATCAGGAGTCGTTCTAAACTTCGTATAGTTGTTTTAATTTCGGGAGAGAATAAAGACAAATATTGTCCAACATTTTGTTATTTTTTTATTATGCTGTTCCTTGATCTAAAGTTTCGGCTCACATGAGTTATCTTCAGAGTGGTTATATGAACTTTTAAACAAAGATATTCATCATCACAAATTTACGACCTGCGTCTGCTATTCCGCGAGCGTTATCGTCGCATAGAAATGTTCTACGTTAACATAATATTATATCAATAGCTTTGTTTTTATATATATATATATATATATATATATAGAGAGAGAGAGAGAGAGTAGGGAGCAAGTGAGAGTGAGTGACTGAGAAAGAAAGAAAGAAAGAAAGAAAGAAAGAAAGAAAGAAAAAAGAAAGAAAGAAAAAGATTGACAACCAAACGCTGTACTAGCTGTTCGGTCAATGCATGACAAACGTTTCCTTGCGGAGAAATGGGTACTACTACAACTACTACTATATATATATATATATATATATATATATATATATATATATATTGTTTATATTTAGGCTGCATTTTTTCATTGATGCATGTTTCCTTAAATAATATAGACAAGTTTTGTCTATTTATTTTATGTAAATTCTTTTCGTATTGTCTGATAAGCTTAATAACATTATCATTAAACGAAGAAAGAAAATCACCATATCGATACATATTTTTTAATCCAATCTAAGCTTTCGGCTTACATAAGATGACAATTACATTACAATATATTAATCAATACACGGACAAAACACGTGGTCACGTGTGATGTCATGAGCTGCGGTGCGATTTTCGCTTCCAGCGTCTCGTATGCACGATTTTGTCGTTGCTTGGTAATCTTCCATGCAAACAAAAACAGACTATCATTATTGTTTTGTACGGGTATTGTTTAATATATTGTAATGTCTCTTGATGATCTCCACACCTTCAAAACCGGTTCCCATGATGATCCACTTGAGCTGGAGGAAAATAAAAAAGTCACACAGAGCAAGATCAGATGAATAAGGAAATTGTTCCAGTACAGCGATGTTCTTCTCGGCTAGAATACCTTGAAAGCTTTAATATCAACTCTTCTTATGAATGATTGCATTGGCAACATTATTCTGGAACTTTCACTCCCAAACTCCACCTCTACACTTCCATAGTGCTTAACCCCAGTTTGGGGGCCAACCACCCGTCCACAGCAGGGACCCCCCCCCCAACTGGTGACACCACCCCGGGCCAGGGAGGACTTGGCAACCGCAGCAATTAAGAGGTGGTTCCACGCCCGTCAAAACCTCCCGATCAGAGACCTTGCTGCTGGATGCAGTTTATCGTCATACCCAGGTCGCTTGAATTTGGTTGAAAATATGAGCGGACTGTGTTTTTTCTTTATCTTTTTACAGTGAGCTTTCCCTGTACGATTCCCGTGAGAAACTAAAAATGGAGGGTTACAAAGCAAGAGTTAGTCTATCCGGATGGGGTGGATCATAACGGTTAACCCTAGACTTGAACACGTTAAGATTTTTGTGATCAAGGAAGCATCCTCTTGGGAGTCGGTTTCACAGATCAGTAGTCCGCAGGAAGAAGCTGAGTGGAACTTACTCCTCAAGTGGAATACGGAGGGGTGATTTTGTACAATGTAAGTGGCATGGCCGTGAAGGTTACAACTGGCGGAAACAAAGAATATAGTTCGTCTGAGAACTTTCCATGGAAGTAACGATAGAGTAGTGAGGAGGCTTGCCATATCCCGCATGTGAGAGAGAGGCTGGAGGGTGAGTGGGGGATAATTTGTCACCCACAAGGACTCCATCGAGACTGGAAAGTAAGGCAGCAGTACTCCGTTTTAGGTCGAAGCTGCCTCTTGTAAAGGTAGAGGTAGCACGAGGAGTCAGGTACAGCAGCAATTAAGAGGAAGAAGATAATAATAAGATGAACCTCCCGATCAGAGACATTGCTGCCGGATGCAGTTTATTGTCATACCCAGGACACATACTTTTTGCCTTGTGCCACATCTAAGCTACGCCTAAGAAATCACCATATCCAAAAATGATGTTGCACTCTTTCGATGTTCGACGTTCCTCTTTGAATTCTTTCTCTTATTTTCCTTGGCAAAATAACTGACAGCAACGACTAGACAAAGGCGAAAATACTGGTGCAGATCAACGTCACTTACCAATGTTTCCTTCATAATCAATGTTGGAGTTGTATGGACCAGAAAATGGATATATCGGAAACAGATCTTCATCAAGATTTAGCCCCAAAAGTAAATGGAATGTGTTTATCAACGTTTTCTTCGGCTGATTGTGTGGGATGATGGTAATTTGCTTGTCCTTTTTTTTTTGTAAACTCGGGAAAACATTAAGAATGTTTTTTGTAGAAATTTCATTAACTGTATTTGCTTATAAAAACAAACCCGTATTGATTTCAGCGAATATCACCCACCCAAGTCATTAATTTCTTATTTTTCTTCTTTTTCTAGCTTTTCGTCTTTCTTCTTAATATTCTATTTTACGGCTTTTATGTTTTTTCATTGTTTGTCTTCTATTTTCTTCATTTATCTGTTGTTTTACTCTATCGTCTTGTTATTCTTCTTCATTTCTTTTTGTTTTCTTCTTCTTAGTCTTTGTTTCCAACGCATCGTTAATTTCTTTCTTTTTTTTTCTTTCTTTATTATACGGTCCAAGCCTTTTCTTTTTGTCCTTTTCACCGTCTTTTCATTGTCTTTTTTCTATGTTTATTATACGGTCCAAGCCTTTTTCTTCTTTGTCCTTTTCACCGTCTTTTCATTGTCTTTTTTTCTTTGTTTATTATACGGTCCAAGCCTTTTCTTCTTTTGTCCTTTTCACCGTCTTTTCATTGTCTTTTTTTTCTTTGTTTATTATACGGTCCAAGCCTTTTCTTCTTTGTCCTTTTCACCGTCTTTTTCATTGTCTTTTTTTCTTTGTTTATTATACGGTCCAAGCCTTTTCTTCTTTGTCCTTTTCACCGTCTTTTCATTGTCTTTTTTTCTTTGTTTATTATACGGTCCAAGCCTTTTTCTTCTTTGTCCTTTTCACCGTCTTTTCATTGTCTTTTTTTCTTTGTTTATTATACGGTCCAAGCCTTTTCTTCTTTGTCCTTTTCACCGTCTTTTTATTGTCTTTTTTTCTTTGTTTATTATACGGTCCAAGCCTTTTCTTCTTTGTCCTTTTCACCGTCTTTTCATTGTCTTTTTTTTCTTTGTTTATTATACTGTCCAGGCCTTTTCTTCTTTGTCCTTTTCACCGTCTTTTCATTGCCTTTTTTTTTCTTTGTTTATTATACGGTCCAAGCCTTTTCTTCTTTGTCCTTTTCACCGTTTTTTCATTGTCTTTTTTCTTTATTTATTTTACGGTCCAAGCGTTTTCTTCTTTGTCCTTTTCACCGTCTTTTCATTGCCTTTTTTTTATTTATTTATTATACGGTCCAAGCCTTTTCTTCTTTGTCCTTTTCACCGTTTTTTCATTGTCTTTTTTCTTTCTTTATTTTACGGTCCAAGCCTTTTCTTCTTTGTCCTTTTCACCGTCTTTTCATTGCCTTTTTTTTCTTTGTTTATTATACGGTCCAAGCCTTTTCTTCTTTGTTCTTTTCACCGTCTTTTCATTGTCTTTTTTTCTTTGTTTATTATACGGTCCAAGCCTTTTCTACTTTGTCCTTTTCACCGTTTTTTCATTGTCTTTTTTCTTTCTTTATTATACGGTCCAAGCCTGTTCTTCTTTGTCCTTTTCACCGTCTTTTTCATTGTCTTTTTTCTTTTTTTTTATTTTACGGTCCAAGCCTTTTCTTCTTTGTCCTTTTCACCGTCTTTTTCATTGCCTTTTTTTTTTTTTTGTTTTATTATACGGTCCAAGCCTTTCCTTCTTTGTCCTTTTCACCGTCTTTTTCATTGTCTTTTTTTTCTTTCTTTTTATTATACGGTCCAAGCCTGTTCTTCTTTGTCCTTTTCACCGTCTTTTTTCATTGTCTTTTTTTTTTTCTTTTATTATACGGTTCAAGCCTTTTCTTCTTTGTCCTTTTCACCGTCTTTTTCATTGCCTTTTTTTTTTTTTTTGTTTATTATACGGTCCAAGCCTTTTCTTCTTTGTCCTTTTCACCGTCTTTTTCATTGCCTTTTTTTTTCTTTTTTTTTATTATACGGTTCAAGCCTTTTCTTCTTTGTCCTTTTCACCGTCTTTTCATTGCCTTTTTTTTTTTTTTGTTTATTATACGGTCCAAGCCTTTTCTTCTTTGTCCTTTTCACCGTCTTTTCATTGCCTTTTTTTTTTCTTTTTTTGTTTATTATACGGTCCAAACCTTTCCTTCTTTGTCCTTTTCACCGTCTTTTCATTGCCTTTTTTTTTTTTCTTTTATTATACGGTTCAAGCCTTTTCTTCTTTTTGTCCTTTTTCACCGTCTTTTCATTGCCTTTTTTTTTCTTTGTTTATTATACGGTCCAAGCCTTTTCTTCTTTGTCCTTTTCACTGTCTTTTCATTGCCTTTTTTTTTCTTTGTTTATTATACGGTCCAAGCCTTTCCTTCTTTGTCCTTTTCACCGTCTTTTCATTGTCATTTTTTCTTTGTTTATTATACGGTCCAAGCCTTTCCTTCTTTGTCCTTTTCACCGTCTTTTCATTGTCTTTTTTTTCTTTGTTTATTATACGGTCCAAGCCTTTTCTTCTTTGTACTTTTCACCGTCTTTTCATTGGCTTTTTTTTTCTTTGTTTATTATACGGTCCAAGCCTTTTCTTCTTTGTCCTTTTCACCGTTATTTCATTGTCTTTTTTCTTTGTTTACTATACGGTCCAAGCCTTTTCTTCTTTGTTCTTTTCACCGTCTTTTCATTGTCTTTTTTTCTTTGTTTATTATACGGTCCAAGCCTTTTCTACTTTGTCCTTTTCACCGTTTTTTCATTGTCTTTTTTCTTTCTTTATTATACGGTCCAAGCCTGTTCTTCTTTGTCCTTTTCACCGTCTTTTCATTGTCTTTTTTCTTTCTTTATTTTACGGTCCAAGCCTTTTCTTCTTTGTCCTTTTCACCGTCTTTTCATTGCCTTTTTTTTTCTTTGTTTATTATACGGTCCAAGCCTTTCCTTCTTTGTCCTTTTCACCGTCTTTTCATTGTCTTTTTTTCTTTCTTTATTATACGGTCCAAGCCTGTTCTTCTTTGTCCTTTTCACCGTCTTTTCATTGTCTTTTTTTCTTTCTTTATTATACGGTTCAAGCCTTTTCTTCTTTGTCCTTTTCACCGTCTTTTCATTGCCTTTTTTTTTCTTTGTTTATTATACGGTCCAAGCCTTTTCTTCTTTGTCCTTTTCACCGTCTTTTCATTGCCTTTTTTCTTTCTTTATTATACGGTTCAAGCCTTTTCTTCTTTGTCCTTTTCACCGTCTTTTCATTGCCTTTTTTTTCTTTGTTTATTATACGGTCCAAGCCTTTTTCTTCTTTGTCCTTTTCACCGTCTTTTTCATTGCCTTTTTTTTTTTTTTTTGTTTATTATACGGTCCAAACCTTTCCTTCTTTTTCCTTTTCACCGTCTTTTTCATTGCCTTTTTTTTTTTCTTTATTATACGGTTCAAGCCTTTTCTTCTTTTTGTCCTTTTCACCGTCTTTTTTTCATTGCCTTTTTTTTTTTTTTTTTTGTTTATTATACGGTCCAAGCCTTTTCTTCTTTGTCCTTTTCACTGTCTTTTCATTGCCTTTTTTTTTCTTTGTTTATTATACGGTCCAAGCCTTTCCTTCTTTGTCCTTTTCACCGTCTTTTCATTGTCATTTTTTCTTTGTTTATTATACGGTCCAAGCCTTTCCTTCTTTGTCCTTTTCACCGTCTTTTCATTGTCTTTTTTCTTTCTTTATTATACGGTCCAAGCCTTTTCTTCTTTGTCCTTTTCACCGTCTTTTCATTGTCTTTTTTCTTTCTTTATTATACGGTTCAAGCCTTTTCTTCTTTGTCCTTTTCACCGTCTTTTCATTGCCTTTTTTTTTCTTTGTTTATTATACGGTCCAAGCCTTTCCTTCTTTGTCCTTTTCACCGTCTTTTTCATTGTCTTTTTTTTTTCTTTTATTATACGGTCCAACCCTTTTCTTCTTTGTCCTTTTCACCGTCTTTACATTGCCTTTTTTTTTCTTTGTTTATTATACGGTCCAACCCTTTTCTTCTTTGTCCTTTTCACCGTCTTTTCATTGTCTTTTTTCTTTGTTTATTATACGGTCCAGGCCTTTTCTTCTTTGTCCTTTTCACCGTTTTTTCATTGTCTTTTTTCTTTCTTTATTATACGGTTCAAGCCTTTTCTTCTTTGTCCTTTTCACCGTCTTTTCATTGTCTTTTTTCTTTGTTTATGATACGGTCCAAGCCTTTTCGACTTTGTCCTTTTCACCGTTTTTTCATTGTCTTTTTTCTTTCTTTATTATACGGTTCAAGCCTTTTCTTCTTTGTCTTTTTCACCGTCTTTTCATTGTCTTTTTTCTTTCTTTATTATACGGTCCAAGCCTTTTTCTTCTTTGTCCTTTTCACCGTCTTTTTATTGCCTTTTTCTTTCTTTGTTTATTATACGCTCCAAGCCTTTTCTTCTTTATAGTTTTGACCTTTCTTTCTGTGTCTTTTTTCTTGGCGTTTATCTTATCATCTTCACCCTCTTCTTTCATTCTTATTATTTGCTACTCACTCCCATCTTCTTCTTATTCTTTAATGTCAGCATACTTCTCCAAAATACTTCCCCACTTGTTCATCTTCCTCTTCTCGTTTACGGCCATATCCCGTTGAAACACCTCTCCTCATCCGATCACTGAAGTTAAGCAACGGTGAGCCAGGTCAGTACCTAGACCGATAACATATTGGAAACACGAGGAGCTGAATAGTGATGAATTGTTGCCATCATTATTATTATTATTATTCTAACTCCTCCTCCTGCTTCAATATAGTGAAACCATCAACATAATGTCCTACCTTAAAGAAAGTGGCTTATACCAAAATATATAACTCTAACACTTTCGCTCAGGCCCCTCAACCTCCGGCGTCTTACTCTCTGGGTTGAGGTGTCTACTCGGTCCTAACCGAACTTAAGGGAGTGGCCATAGGCCCCCTGAGCATCTGTAGATTATTCGACCGGTCCGCTGGTTTAATCCTGCTTCCTGCCCACGTTGTGATTTGTTTGATCCAGAAAGCAGAAGTGATGTTCATCCATTCACGGTCGACTGAAGATGTAGACATGGCTGGGGAGTCTGCGCTAAGAAATTTAAAATGCAGCAAAAAAAAAAAAATTAATATCTGCAGAAAGCCGGACAAACATCGATTCAATGGTTGAATTGTTAATGTCTTTTATATAGCAGAAAAGAATAGTAGAGAAGAGAAACAGGTTACAGAAAAGAAAAGTAAAAAAAAAAAAAACCTCAAACACTGGATTCTAGACAGAGAGAAAGTGTATGTGATTATCTTGTTGTTAAATCGTCTCAGAATGATATATGACTCTTGGGATGGAGGGATAAAGATTTCTGTGCGGGGCTTAAAGTTATGGTGGCGTTCCTCCTCTCAACGCTCGCCTGGGCCAATTCTCTCTTCTCTCTTCAAGAATTTTCTCCCGTCTGTCTTTTTCAGCATAACTACGTGTTTATATAGATAAACCCAGCTGGTTATAACTGAACCTCGGCCCTACTACTTCACACACGATTATCACGGGGTTCTGGCTGCTTCAACCAAAATCATGTGAATTCCAAAGTTCCTTCTAGCTTACTCAGCTCTATTTCAATTTTTAATCGATAAAAATTATTTCGACCATTTCCATTGTCTCCTGATGACCCAGATTCAATGGGTACAACTTCTGCCCTAGGTCAGATTTCCCCATCAGTAAGCAAAATGCTCTGATTTAATTTCACTATTCAAATCTACTCCAATTTCACTAAAAAAAATACACGTGTGTGTGTGTTTCCCAGACTCTCTCTCTTTGTCACATAACACCTACATTAGATTATCTACAAATTATATATCTATAAAACAACTGAATGTATAAGATTATGTACAATATATCTGCAGTTGAAGCCATACTATTGCGTTGAAAATATATTTATTTGATGGCATGCTGTTGCATTTAAAATATATTTATTTGAAGGCATGCAATTGCATTCAAAATATATTTAGTTGAAAGCATGCAATTGCATTCAAAATATATTTAGTTGAAGTCATGCAATTGCATTCAAAATATATTTAGTTGAAGGCATGCAGTTGCATTCAAAATATATTTATTTGAAGGCATGCAATTGCATTCAAAATATATTTAGTTGAAGGCATGCAATTGCGTTCAAAATATATTTATTTGAAGGCATGCAGTTGCATTCAAAATATATTTAGTTGAAAGCATGCAATTGCATTCAAAATATATTTAGTGAAGTCATGCAATTGCATTCAAAATATATTTAGTTGAAGGCATGCAATTGCATTCAAAATATATTTATTTGAAGGCATGCAATTGCATTCAAAATATATTTAGTTGAAGGCATGCAATTGCGTTCAAAATATATTTAGTTGAAAGCATGCAATTGCATTCAAAATATATTTAGTTGAAGTCATGCAATTGCGTTCAAGATATATTTATTTGAAGGCATGCAGTTGCATTCAAAATATATTTATTTGAAGGCATGCAATTGCATTCAAAATATATTTATTTGAAGGCATGCAATTGCATTCAAAATATATTTAGTTGTAGACATGCAATTGCATTCAAAATATATTTAGTTGAAGGCATGCAATTGCATTCAAAATATATTTAGTTGAAGTCATGCAGTTGCATTCAAGATATATTTATTTGAAGGCATGCAGTTGCATTCAAAATATATTTATTTGAAGGCATGCAATTGCATTCAAAATATATTTAGTTGAAGGCATGCAATTGCATTCAAAATATATTTATTTGAAGGCATGCAATTGCATTCAAAATATATTTAGTTGAAGGCATGCAATTGCATTCAAAATATATTTATTTGAAGGCATGCAATTGCATTCAAAATATATTTAAAATATATTGAAGGCATGCAGTTGCATTCAAAATATATTTATTTGAAGGCATGCAATTGCATTCAAAATATATTTAGTTGAAGGCATGCAATTGCATTCAAAATATATTTATTTGAAAGCATGCAATTGCATTCAAAATATATTTAGTTGAAGGCATGCAATTGCATTCAAAATATATTTATTTGAAGGCATGCAATTGCATTCAAAATATATTTAGTTGAAGGCATGCAGTTGCATTCAAAATATATTTATTTGAAGGCATGCAATTGCATTCAAAATATATTTAGTTGAAGGCATGCAATTGCATTCAAAATATATTTACTTGAAAGCATGCAATTGCATTCAAAATATATTTAGTTGAAGGCATGCAATTGCATTCAAAATATATTTATTTGAAGGCATGCAATTGCATTCAAAATATATTTAGTTGAAGGCATGCAGTTGCATTCAAAATATATTTATTTGAAGGCATGCAATTGCATTCAAAAAATATATTTAGTTGAAGGCATGCAATTGCATTCAAAATATATTTATTTGAAAGCATGCAATTGCATTCAAAATATATTTAGTTGAAGGCATGCAATTGCATTCAAAATATATTTATTTGAAGGCATGCAATTGCATTCAAAATATATTTAGTTGAAGGCATGCAGTTGCATTCAAAATATATTTATTTGAAGGCATGCAATTGCATTCAAAATATATTTAGTTGAAGGCATGCAATTGCATTCAAAATATATTTATTTGAAGGCATGCAATTGCATTCAAAATATATTTAGTTGAAGGCATGCAATTGCATTCAAAATATATTTATTTGAAGGCATGCAATTGCATTCAAAATATATTTATTTGAAGGCATGCAGTTGCATTCAAAATATATTTAGTTGAAGGCATGCAATTGCATTCAAAATATATTTATTTGAAGTCATGCAATTGCATTCAAAATATATTTAGTTGAAGGCAGGCAGTTGCATTCAAAATATATTTATTTGAAGGCATGCAATTGCATTCAAAATATATTTAGTTGAAGGCATGCAATTGCATTCAAAATATATTTATTTGAAGGCATGCAATTGCATTCAAAATATATTTAGTTGAAGGCATGCAATTGCATTCAAAATATATTTAGTTTAAGGCATGCAATTGCGTTCAAAATATATTTAGTTGAAGGCATGCAATTGCGTTCAAAATATATTTAGTTGAAAGCATGCAATTGCATTCAAAATATATTTAGTTGAAGTCATGCAATTGCGTTCAAAATATATTTAGTTGAAGGCATGCAGTTGCATTCAAAATATATTTATTTGAAGGCATGCAATTGCATTCAAAATATATTTAGTTGAAGTCATGCAATTGCATTCAAAATATATTTAGTTGAAGTCATGCAATTGCGTTCAAAATATATTTAGTTGAAGGCATGCAATTGCATTCAATATATATTTACTTGAAGGCATGCAATTGCATTCAAAATATATTTAGTTGAAGGCATGCAATTGCATTCAAAATATATTTAGTTGAAGGCATGCAATTGCATTCAAAATATATTTAGTTGAAGGCATGCAATTGCATTCAAAATATATTTATTTGAAGGCATGCAATTGCATTCAAAATATATTTAGTTGAAGGCATGCAATTGCATTCAAAATATATTTATTTGAAGGCATGCAATTGCATTCAAAATATGTTTAGTTGAAGGCATGCAATTGCATTCAAAATATATTTAGTTGAAGGCATGCAATTGCATTCAAAATATATTTAGTTGAAGGCATGCAATTGCATTCAAAATATATTTAGTTGAAGGCATGCAGTTGCATTCAAAATATATTTATTTGAAGGCATGCAATTGCATTCAAAATATATTTAGTTGAAGGCATGCAATTGCGTTCAAAATATATTTAGTTGAAGGCATGCAGTTGCATTCAAAATATATTTAGTTGAAGGCATGCAATTGCGTTCAAAATATATTTAGTTGAAGTCATGCAATTGCATTCAAAATATATTTAGTTGAAGGCATGCAATTGCATTCAAAATATATTTAGTTGAAGGCATGCAGTGGCATTCAAAATATATTTATTTGAAGGCATGCAATTGCATTCAAAATATATTTAGTTGAAAGCATGCAATTGCATTCAAAATATATTTATTGAAGTCATGCAATTGCATTCAAAATATATTTAGTTGAAGGCATGCAATTGCATTCAAAATATATTTAGTTGAAGGCATGCAATTGCATTCAAAATATATTTAGTTGAAAGCATGCAATTGCATTCAAAATATATTTAGTTGAAGTCATGCAATTGCGTTCAAAATATATTTAGTTGAAGGCATGCAGTTGCATTCAAAATATATTTATTTGAAGGCATGCAATTGCATTCAAAATATATTTAGTTGAAGTCATGCAATTGCGTTCAAAATATATTTAGTTGAAGGCATGCAATTGCATTCAAAATATATTTATTTGAAGGCATGCAATTGCATTCAAAATATATTTAGTTGAAGGCATGCAATTGCGTTCAAAATATATTTGGTTGAAAGCATGCAATTGCATTCAAAATATATTTAGTTGAAGTCATGCAATTGCGTTCAAAATATATTTAGTTGAAGGCATGCAGTTGCATTCAAAATATATTTATTTGAAGGCATGCAATTGCATTCAAAATATATTTAGTTGAAGTCATGCAATTGCATTCAAAATATATTTAGTTGAAGTCATGCAATTGCATTCAAAATATATTTAGTTGAAGTCATGCAATTGC